GGTGGACCACCTACCAAAATGGAATGCTACAATTAATACAGGGAAGGAGCATACCCTTCAATTTTCAATGAAATGAAGCCAGACAATCAAGCCATGGATAACAAGCAACTGTAACATTGAACTATGATGAACAAACATAGGAAACATGAATGCAATACTTGAGTCTACTCTTCCTTTTCATGCATGAGATGCAGTTATGGCTAAATAAGATTAATTAATTCCTTCCACACTCTATTTTTCCATTAGCATCTGCCTTTAAACTCTCACAAACAAATTCCTGATGAGAGAATAATTGCTTCACGTTGGTGTTGCTTCTACCGTAATTTCCAGCCGTTTACCCGCACGGCCGATTACCTGCACTGACCAATTATTGCACGCAGCGAAAAAAAGTCAACAGATTACCCGCACTGGTGGATAACCCACACCTTAAAAACAAAGGAAATTTTTACAAATGTGCTCTAAAATTCACAACATTGCATACTTGACAGAATGCGAATTCGTGGCCACATTTTGTGCGAACAATCGTTCTGTGCCATGTTGATTTCTCCAAAAAATTGATATCTCTGGTTCTACTGGGTCTAACAAGTCCCTTAAAACGGGAAAATTCTCTTCAGCTGAAGCTAGTGTTAAATGGAAATTTGTTACCGATGTGCCAGTTATCCTTGGTTTATTTTTGTCACCATCAAGGTTTTGTCTACACGCATGCCAATAGTAATTTGTTCATCACACAACTAATTGTGCATGAAATAAACGAGTCAGCATCATGTTTTAGTGCCGCTTTGTGGCACTCTTATTACAATAAAATTCATCTGAGAAGTGGAAATGCAGGTAGGTGAGAATTTTATTTAATTCAACTGTAAGTAGATTTCAAAACTGTCACATAACCCACACCTCCCTCTTACCCCCAGTGGCGTGTGTTTAAGGCAAAATCAACAGATTACCCGCAGGTAAACGGCCGGAAATTACGATAATCCTTTGGACTCCAAATCAAACTTCCTGAATTTTACACAATCCAAAATATTGAACATACCACCAGGTGCACCTCTTCCTTGTGGGGTCATAAGTTGAGCAGCTGGTCCACCCACCCCTCTCACAGGCCCAGCAAGTCCTGCAATGCAAAATAACCCGTTCAGTTGGAAGATCGCGAAATAAGTTTTCCAAACAATCTCTTAAACAATCTTTATTACTTTAGCTCAGGGAGATTAGTAGTAATTCAGACTAGATGTCAAGATTCTAGTGGACACTTTGCTTTTTTTCTTTCCCCTCCTTCTTTTGGCTGAACACTGTGTGGTTGGAGTAAGAGGAAATTGTACTTGGTACCAGCTACTTTGAGTAATAGCACTATAATTCTATTACACAATTTACTAAGCACATCTCAAAATCACTGGGCCTTGCTATGTTGCTAAGAAAAAAAGAGATTCAGAGAGAGAGAGAGACAGGCACACGACCTGGATCACTAAATAACTCATTTGTGATAACCAGGTTCAGAAACAACATAATCACCAAAAACACAAACCTGGTGGTGCAGCAATTGTTGGTGCTAAAGGAGCAGGCACTCCACGTCCAGCTGCACGACCCATTCCAGTACCAGGAGCAGCATTGGCCCCAAGAAGTTTGGATTTTGACTAAACAAACAGGAGAAAAATCTTCAGAGGTGAACAAATATTTGAAACTTACATGATATGGCAGAGACTTGATATGCACCTCTAAAGATGGTAGGCATGGCAGCTTTCCTCTTAGAGCTACTTGCACTTAAAGTGTCAAAAGTAATCCAACATAGCATTGGGCTTCAAGGCTGCAAATAACTAACCGGCAGTCGCAGGTCACGTTGTCCAGTCAAACATGCTTTTCCTCGGACACTACCCATTTTTGGCGGGTCAAATTTGAACAGTCGGAACTCTTGCGATAGTGAACCCAGATTGCATAGTAATCCTTTTACAACTAAAAAGCAACTGAATCCAAGTCAGTCTGGCAATAAAAAACATAGGCATGCTACGCATGCAGGAGTTATTTTTTTCGATATGTAGGTTGAAATGTGTGGTGTTTTAGTTAAATAAATAAATAAACTTTAGTAGCTAACACAATTGCTGGTAACCCAGTAGTTTACATCGTGGGCTGTATTAAAAAGAATTGTAAAAACTAGATTATCAAGAACAGCATGCACATAAATATATTCAAAACATTCTAGAGATAGTAAAATGTTCACGATCTGAATTACTTTGTAAAAAATTGTTTACTAAAAGTTTCTTAAAATTGCTTTCATCTGTAACAGTTTTAAATTTGTCGTCCAGACGGTTCCATAAGTAAGTGGCACTCGCATGAAATGTTCGAAGGCCTGCGTTGGAGCGACATTTCGGCACGGCGAGATGATCATGGAAAGAAGCTCGCGTATTATAAGAATGGGTGTTTTTTACATAAGTTCTATAGCTTGTAAAATAATGCGGACACTCTCCGTTCACAATTTTGAACATCATGCACAATTTCTTCATGCGTATTACATCATCAATTGGCATC